AAGGAATGTAGCTCAGTGGTACGAGGCCCTGAGTTCAATCCTCAGCGGAAGGAAGGAAGGAAGGAAGGAAGGAAGGAAGGAAGGAAGGAAGGAAGGGAGGGAGGGAGGAAATAAATCAGGACTTTTGAAGAATTACACCCCTAGTGGAAAGAGGGCTAGAAAAACTCACCTTCAACTCCAGAGACATAGCTGTAGAGCTGTGTCTTCCTGGTCTCCCATGAGAAATCAAAACACTAAGCTTGCACCAAGGGATACTTTGGAGTTGGTCTTAAACCACCTACATTGTACAGTAACCCAAAGTTAAAAAATTAACAAATAAACAAAAACAGATCCAAGGCTAAACCACCACGGCACCTGGCAAAACCAGAATAAAACTTCTCTGAAAAGCTATTCCTAAAATTCAGGTAGCATAGAATTCCCTTTTAAAAAATCACCAAAGAAAACAACAAACCATACAAAAAGTGTGTCAAGAGCAAGAGTTTGCAGAACAAACAAACAGAAGATATGACATCCCAAGAGCTTCTGATAATTGAACATTCTGAAAGACTACAAAATAGGTAAAATGACAAAAGAGAAAAAGACAAGAAATAAAAAACATAATGAAGGAACAGGAAATGCTTTTTTAAAAAGCTTAATAAAACATCTGTAAATTAAAAAATATAACCATCAAAATTAAAATTTTAACAAAAGGGTAAATTTGTAGGTTAGATCAAGCTAACAAGAGAATTTATAAATTAGAAAACAACTATGTAGAAATTACCCACAAGGTTGCACAGAGAGATAAAACAATAGAAAATATGAAAGATAATTAAAAGAAGAAGGGAATAAAATAGCCCAAAAAATTTGTGATAAGAAAGAGCAGAGAATTAGAAAAAATAATATTAAAAGATAGAGCTAGACTCATCTCACATGGTGGCTTGAGTTTCAAGTGTTCTAGCAAACAAAACAAAGACTGGGAAGTCACATAGCTTCACTTGAATTCCACATTGGTCAAAGTAGTCCTAAAACCATCCAGATTCAAAAGAAGGGGACCAAGACCCTGCTTCTCAATGGAAGGAGTGTTACGGAATTTGGAAGTCATAGTTTAAAACTATATCTGCATAAGCACAGCTGAAATTCAGCATCGTATATAAGTAAATAAAATGAAGGTCCATTGACAGCTAAAAAATATTTAACAAAAAAAAAAGATTAGAGTCATCAAGAATTTTCAATAAAAAGGAAAACCATGAATCCTCACAAGGAAAAGTCATTTCAGTACCTAAGTACATTAAATATAAATGATTTACACCTAGACACATCAGAGTAAAATATCAAAACAAAATCATATAAGCAACTAGCAAGAAGAGACACATCACCACAAAGAAACAACAGAATTTCCACAAACTTCTCAGCAGCAACCACAGATGACAGAAAATAACGAACTAATCCAAGTATCTTCCATGTGCTGAGGGAAAATAACTGCAAACCTCAGTGATCTATATTCAGCTACATTATCATTTAAGAAGAAGAATAAAATTAAATTTTTTTTTCAATCAAAGAGTTACTACCCACAGAACTGAGTGAAAGCACTATGAAAAGTATGTGCTGCCGGAAGAAGGAAATTGAACTCAGAAGGAAGGAATGGGTGAACAAAGAAAATGGAAACATGTGGATAACTGGAAACAAGCAATGACTGTAAAAATATACAGATAATAGTGACAAAAGCTTAGCACATAAGTGCTTGACAAATTTTTATTGGATGGGGATTCTTGATTGTATGCACCTCTTCTGAGACATAATTCGGCATGTGTTTTGGGCATGCAACTCAGAAGCATTTCAGCTTATGCCTGTCACATTCTATTTACTTCTTTATGTCAGGAATGTTTCATCATTTCTGGGCTAAGACTCTCCCTTCATAATTTAATTGCAACTCCATACTTATTTTTATCTTTTTCATTTTTGCCATCATTTGCTGGTAAGGAAGCAGACTCCAATTTGGGTTCAACACACCATTTCAAAACCACACTCAATAAATTGTTATTGATCTGGAAAAATAAAACTATCCCCACCCCTCTAATAACTGTGATTGCCTGTCAAACTCCAGAACAGACAGAGTCTTACATGTGGCTTGGGGTTCAAGTGTTCTAGCAAACAAAACAAAGACAGGGAAGTCACATAGCTTCACTTGAACTCCTCATTGGTCAAAGTAGTCCCAAGACCACCCAGATTCAAGGGAAGGGGACAGAGACCCTACTTCTCAATGGGAAGACTGTTAAGAATTTGGAAGTCATAGTTTAAAACTATATCTGCATAAGCACAGGTGAAATTCAGTGCAAGTAAAAGTAGGAGGTAAATTACAAGTAACAGCAACTGTAAGCTCTAGAATTTATTGAGCATATAATATATTAAGGCACTTTATTTCCATATTTTATCTTTACAGCAAACTTATGAGCCAGTGGGGAAAAAAAATACAGAGGGGGAATCTGCACTCATTGTGGTCCTACAGCTCATGGGGGGTCTGATTCAAATCCAGGGTAGTCAAAAGACAAGAAAGGCATGCTTTTACCTACTCTACTATTCTAAATTTTAAAGCCACCAAGTAGTGATAACTTACTTTAGTCCCACTCATTGAAGCCGCTGTGAGGAATGTAAGCTTGGAGCCAGCCATCAGGAGAGGGAGGTGGCATCCCAGAGCGGGGCTTCCTGTGTAAACAGGAGGCGCATGGGAAGCAGCACTGTGGTGCAGGGACAATGGGCAGTGAGCAGGCAGGGCCTCCTGTCTCCGGTGGGTGCTCAGGGTTTCGGGCAGCCAGGCAGGAACAGCTGGGGCCCGGATTCTCTGACGCCTGGCCCAGGAGAGGAACTGCCCCTGTCATGGCTTTCCCAGGAGGAAGTTCCCCACTGGTTCAGGGGAAGCCCATCCCATCCCAGGTCTGGGCTGTGCCTGCACCTCCTCTTTCTTCTTCAGGAGCCTGTTGTCTTTGGGGCTAATCTGGGAGACAGGCCTCCTCTGAAGTCTCCATGTCCTGGAGGCCTAGAGGGTGTAGGCAAGGCTGGCCAGGTCCAGATGCCAATCTAGGAGATGACCCCGCTGAATGTGTGCTAAAGAAAAAAGCCAAGGGCAGTTAAAAAAAAATGAGATATGAAAAGCAACAAATTCCAATTCCAATCCCATCTCCAACAAGTTATGTGACCTGAGGAGAGACATTCACCCTCTTGGAACCACAATTTCCTCATGTGAAAATATCTATCTGAAGAGAGCTGTTAGAAGATCAAATGAAATAACCTATTTAAAGTCACCGATGCTCATCTCCTGCAGCACCTAGATTCTCACCATCAGAGAGACTCTGCTCCCATTTAAATGCCAATCACCACATGAAGGGGCACAGCAACATGAGGGAGGGGCCTGAGCAGGCCCTGGCCACTTTCCTCCCAAGGCTTCTCAATCCCACACTTGGTCATCTTGTGACCCTACTCACACTTGGTCATCTTGTGACCCCACTCACTCTTGGTCACCTGCTGCTTCTTGGTATACTCTCAAGAGTCTCCCAGTTCTGCTCATCTCCTTTCTTTAGTATTCCCTCTGTGTCTCTCCACACCTTCTCTGGTGACCTCTTCTTGTCCCATTCATTAAGCTAATAATTCCCAAATCTTTCTCCTAAGTCCAGACCTGCATGTACAGCTGCCTGCCAGACACTGCCACCTGCATGTCCTTCAAGCATTGCAAAAGCATGTTGTTCCACACAGAGATAAACAGGTCACCCACAAATCCTGTATCTCCAGCCTGCTTTGTCTCAGGGAATGGCGCATCCTGTGCTCACCTGGCTGAGTCGGAAGCCTGAGTACTGTTCTGATGCCCCCCACTCTCCCACTCCTAATCAGTCATCCCATCTCATAGATCCCATCAGCTACATGTGTCTCAAGGTGTGTCCTTCTCTCCACCCTGCTCCTGGCTTAGCACAAGCCCATCTCCTCTCACCTGCACTCCCTGCTCCAGGTTCTGCTTCTCCATTCTGCAGCAAAATCATCTCCCCAACACA